AAAAAAGGGGGGGGGGGGGGGGCAGCGGGAAGGGTGGTTGTCATCGGTAGGCGGTGGTGGTCGTGGTGATGGTGATGGTGGAGGAAGAGGTGTTGGCGATGGTTGTTGCAGGGTGTTTGGCTTGGAACTTGTTCTTGGTTGTTGACTGTTGGCGTGGCAAGCGGTTTCTTGTTAATGACGTCTTGTTGGTGTCTTCGCTGCTATTGGTGCCGTAGTTTCGGAGGCTGTCGTCGGCAGCAACCCGTCGGCCATTGATGGATGAACCCATCACCGCCGACGCAAGAACACACCGGTATGAAGGGTCGCAAAAAATAGTGATTTACCCCCCGACTTCCTATCCGATGAAGCCACCACCACCGACGCACAAAGACGCTGGTGTGAACGGTCGTACAAAATATTTTTAAGTAATTGCTTGCCCATCCCCCGTTCGCGCGAATTATTTGGCAGCTCGTGACCGCGTTTGCTCGGGTGCTAGCTGGCTCTCTGCCACGACCCCACCACAGGGAGGACTTGACCCCGAACATGAACCCGGTCGCGCCGGCGGTGTGCGAATTCTTGTCGGAGAGCCTGCGGGAAGGCTTCGCCCTTGGGCTGGACAGGACGGAGGGCTCTCGCGGTAAGCGCTAAGAAAAGAGGTGCAACAAGAGAGAGAGGAGAGGGAGAGGTGTACTCGTAGCCGTGCATGCCGTAGTCGTTAGACCATTGACCTCGCACCCCTACAAAGCTGGGACAGGGCGATGCGCCGGGTAGTCGCCAGCCTAGGCTACGTTTCACAAGGGTGAACCAGTTATGCCGTGGGTTTGTTGAAGGGGGGGAGTAAAGAGACCGAGGCGCAGGGGGTGGGGGGGAGAGGCAGAGGAAGAGGAAGAGTAAGCCTGTGGTGCAAAAGACGGATAGAGACTCTTCCCAGGATGGTGTTGGTTCTTTCTTGATGGCCACCGGACTCAATTTTTTTGTTGGCCTAGAGCCAACCAAAGGTATTGGTAGTCAATTTGTTGCACCAGGTATCACTTATCACCGCGCGCCTTCTCCCCCCCCCCCCCCGCGCCTCGGTCTC